CATTAGACGTTTCTGGGGTTCTGGCCAAACAAAAAATTTGAGAATGCAGACTTAAGTATTATCAATTACGTTCTCTTCATCTAAAATATTTTCAGATTTCTAGCACTTCCGGTTATACCGGAAGTCGCCACCTACTTTTTTTTTTAAATGGAACACCCTGTATATTTTTACATATTTGGATTTGTCTGTTTTCAAGGTTTATAAATAACTTTACTTTTTGCAATTTGAACCAGCAATTCTCGAGTTATTCGGATTTTTCTAGAAAAATTTGCTCCAGCGGATATTTGTTCAAAAAATCATAGAACACTCAATTTTTGAGATATCAATTTAGGATTCAAAACATGCTTAAACAACATGATGGAGTATGTTTTGGTGCCGAGAACGGCTGTCTAGATCGTTTGGTCACTTTACTATGATACGTTAACTTTTCGAAATTTGGAAGCACCATAACTTCATTTTTTTAAATGGCACCCCCCATATTTTATTACTTAGTCGTCTTCGGCGTCTCATTTTACATCTTTTATATTCCATATGTCCTATGCCTAACATTAATAGTTTGAGAAATAATTAGGGTTTTTTGAAAAATGCTCACATATCATATGGATATTAACCTAGTGTGCCATGGAAAACAAATGTTTAATGACTTATTGATAAACGTCAAAGTCTAATTTAGGTTGTTTGATGCTTGTGAGTCTAAAACCAGTTAAAATGGATATTAATAACGTAAATAATGTTTATACAAATGAAGAAATCCATAATTTATTTTTTGTGCACGAAAAGTCCGACAAAGTTCTTAGTAGAACTTGCAGAATGTTTAATGAAAATTCATTAAAACAACTCATTGAGAAGGCTTGTTTTTCATGGCACACTAGGCTAAACATCCATATGATATGTGTGCATTTTTCAAAAAACCCTAAGTTTGTTCGAAGGGATCGCGGCGCCAGGGGTGGGGGTGTGACGTTCTATATTCGTGATAATATCAAACACAAAGTTTTGCCTACGCAATGTTTCACTTTTTTGGAGCAATTGCGGTTGCAGATTCGTATTGATTCTGGTACTTTTATGGTAGGTATATGCTATCGACCTCCAAACAGTGACACCCGGATGTTCCTATCGACTTTGAATGAAACTCTAGCGGATATGTTTTTATTGGGTGATGGTTTAATATTGGTGGGTGATTGTAATTTGAACTTACTAATAAATGACAGTAATGTTCTCGCGTTCAATGCAATTTTACATAGTTATGATATGATTCAAATAGTTGATAAACCGACAAGAATGGGTCATAATTCCACGCTCCTCGATATCATTGCTGTTTCTGAGTGCGTTTCGATCATGGATTCACAGGTGATTGATGTTCACGAACTTTCGGATCACTGCCTGACGTTTTGTGAATTAAAATTGAAGGCTGAGGTGCAACTTGGGAAGCCAGTGTCGTTTCGTTCGTATAGACTCTTCGACTATGAATTATTTTCTCGGGATTTAGCCAACATTGATTGGCATTTAATATTTCACATGGATAGTGTGGATGATATGGTCGATTTCCTAAGCTGTAATATCTCCAATCTTTTCGATATACATGCGCCAATTTGTACAATTATTCCTAGACAGTCTAGTCCGTGGATTACCAATAATGTAAAATTGATGATGTCGTTGCGTGACAAAGCTTTAAATAAATTTAAACGCACTAATCATGTAGCTCACTGGGACTATTATAAGCAATTGCGGAATTATACGACTAATGCAATTAAGTGTGAAAAAAGAGCTTACTTAACTGAGCAAATGAGAACTGGGAGCACTCAAAATTTGTGGAGGGAGCTGCGCAAGTTGAATATTTACAATAAAAAAAACCCTGCCTACCGACGAGTCTGAGAGATGTTGAAGCTTTGAATGGGTACTTTTCTTCGATTTCGGGACGATCTGCGGAGGTCGACCCGGACGTGCACAACTTTTATGCTAATAATGTCAGACCTGGTGTGAAAAATTTCTTTTTCCAAAAAGTAAATGAATCTAAGATCAATATTATCTTGACGAAGATGTCGAGTCAAGTGGTGGGGATTGATGGTATAAGCCTTAGGATGTTGGGTTTCTGTTGTTCACACATAACTCCCTACCTCCTGCATGTAATTAACTTTTGTTTAGAGTTTGGTGTCTTTCCTGAGAAATGGAAAACAGCCAAAGTTGTTCCTATACCTAAGTCATCGACTGCTTCTTCCTTCTCGGATGTGAGGCCAATTAGTATCTTAAGTACTTTGTCGGGAATTTTGGAAAGGGTCGTGGCGGAACAAATACGTGAGCACTTGGAACGGTTTCATATTCTGCCCTCCATCCAATCAGGATTTAGGCCTGGGTATAGTTGTGCAACCGCACTTTCGACAATTATTGATGATGTTATGTCTGCAACGGACAATGGCGCGGCTACTGTTTTGGTTTTACTTGACTTCTCTAAAGCGTTTGACACTATTAATCATCAACTTCTCTTAGCAATTCTTCATTATATTGGGTTCAATAATACAGCCTTAAATTTTTTTAATAATTATCTGTGCGGGAGAAGTCAGTATGTGGTTATTGATAATGATGTGTCGGATCCTGCCGTATTGAGGTCTGGTGTGCCGCAGGGCTCTACATTGGGTCCCCTTTTGTTCACTATCTATACGTCTCAAATGTTGATCTTTGACCGCTTTTGCTCAAAATTTCATATCTATGCGGATGACACACAACTTTACCACAGCTTTAGCTCAAATAATGTGCTAGAGTCTGTTGCAGATGTAAACAATGATCTAGATAAATTTTTAAATATTACTAAGAAACATGGTCTTTTGTTAAATGGGAATAAATCGGTCTATATGGTGTTCGGGGGTAGGGAATCCAAAGCGCTTGTCAGCAATATGGCCCATATCTTTATAGATGGAATTGAATTGGAGAGGAAGGTCTGTGTCAAGGATCTTGGTCTTTACATTGACGACAGCTTAAGGTTTACACGTAACACAAGTGAACTGATCAGGCGTGCTTACGCAAAATTGAAAATGCTGTTTGCTCATAGGCAATTCTTGAATGCCGATATTAAAAAGAATCTTTGCGAGTCTGTAATTTCATCCATCTTTACATACTGTTACACAATTTACGGTCACTGCCTGTTGACTGATGATGCGCGGCGTATTCAGGTAGTTCAGAATTCTTGTATTCGTTTTATATTTGGTATACGTCGACGTCAGAGAGTATCGTATAAGCTGGGGGAGTTGAGGTGGCTGAGTATGTCGAGTCGTCGTCGGTTACATTTTGGTTGTTTTCTTTATAAAGTTGTGTCAAGTAAGCTACCACCTTACCTCACCAACAAAATTACTTACAGAACGGACATTCATAATATTAATGTACGGCGTAAGGACCTCATTATGTAAAAATATACAGGTGTTCCATTTAAAAAAATAAAGTTGGTGGCGACTTCCGGTATAACCGGAAGTGCAAGAAATCGGAAAATATTTTAGACAAAGAGATCGTAATTAATAATACTTAAGTCTGAATTCTCAAATTTTTATTTTCGCCAGAACCCTAGAAACGTCTAATGACCGGTCTCGCTGAGACACCCTGTATATTTATAAATGAAGTGATGCGAGACAAGATCTCATTGCACCCGTTAATTGGTATGCTAACCACTGGATTTGTACCAGCTATTGTTGTACTGTTTTATGATTTGTTTTTAGCCACTAAACCAGTGAGGCATAGGCGACCATGGGTCTGATTATTGCTACGTAGGCCCAATGAGTTATTCGTGGTTTAAGACCCCAGTTCCGAGGAGCCTGGGGCAGATCTGGTTAGCCACAATGGCCTTTCTCTTCCCTTTGGCTATGTGGGAGTTCCAGTTCAATTTGCCGTCTAGTATTACCCCTAGGTATTTAACTTCTGTTTTGAGGTTAATAGTTCTGTTTTCAATAGAGGGTGCTCTCAATTCCTGAGGATTCATCTTCCTTCTCCGAGTGAAAGGTACTACAACGATTTTGTTTGAATTGATGCTAAGTACATTACTTCTGCACCAAGTGCTGGTCTAGTACTTACCAGTACTTGATGCAGAAGTAATGTACTAGGCTTTCTGCATTAGTTGAGTTATGATTGTGTCATAATTGATAATCATTTGATTGAGATTAATGTAGCTTACGTATGTTCTTAAATTTATTTCATCCATTATAACTGTCCGAGTTTTGACATAGTTACAAAGCCATTGTATTTTTGAAACTGGTTTTATTAAAATTGAAGAACGTTCTTCAATTTTAACGTGTTAACTTGTTAACTTTGTCTTAAACTTAAAAGAATTTTATTTGAACAATTACATTTATGAACTTAATACTTTGCGATATGACCTTTTTTGTTAACTCTTGTAAAATTAGTCTCTGAGGATGGCCATGGGCCGAAACTAGTAAGACTTAATTAATTAATAAAACCAGTTTCAAAAGTACAATATTGAGAAAATTAAATTTAATTATCTTTTCAAAAATTAAACAACTGGTAAAATGGCGTCTAATTATAATTATCTAATATTCATTACCTAGATTTTTGTTTATTTTGAATAAGTTTAAATTTGTTCCAATATATTATAATTGTTTGCATTTTGACGTGTTTATTTCTGCAAATTCAAGTATTCAAGTCTAAGCAGTTATAGCACAACAACTGGAATTCATGTCAAAACTGTCCAAATCCCACCAACTTTCAAAATCGCCCGGTCAGTTTGAAATGTGACCATTTCCATTTTAATTGTTTATTTTTAAGTAATTAATGTAGAAAAATATTGTTTATTAGCCACAATTCTTCGTACATAATAAATATGAAGAAATAAATAAACATAATAAAATGTATAAAAAGTCAAAAGAAACTTTGAAGAATTCAGTTCGTCATCTCTTTGAAAATATAATTATCAATACGAACGATATTAATAAGTTTTGCTTATAAAACCCTCTGTAAATAAAATTTGATTATAATTACTAATTAGGTAATAAAATCGCAATAAATAAGAGTACAATTGTTTAATTTTCGCTTTAAACGCATAGAAATACAGTTTGATTGCATCTTAAAACACATACCATTAGACATAAACAAGATTATTGCGTTGGGATAAGCACGAAATACTCTTTTTAAGGAAAAAATATTTTGTGCAAATATTTTGTGTATAGCAGCTATTACAATTCATAAATTTGTGTTTGTGTGTACTTTTGAAATCCCAATGCAGGCACTGTACATAAAACGAAGCTTCCAAACATGAGAAATAACGTTCAAATTCAAAAAAACATCCAAAAACAAGCACACAATAATAAATTGTGTGTATCTACTTGGAATATTTACATTAATTATTTATTATGATTTACAATCAATGCAAATCGTTTTTCTTTTCTTTATTAATTTATTCACACTTTTCATTACCATCGCATCGTCTTGACTAGTAACTATTGTAACAAAAATCTAATAAAATTAAAGATAGCGCTTTAAATTTAAATACTTTTGACATTTATTATTCTTTTACATTTAAATCATCTGTATAGGCGGTTAAGTACGTAACAAATACAAAAATAAAATCGAATTGTTAATTTATACATTTTTTTTTGGACCCGTGAGGAAAAGAAACAAAAAAGAACAAGAAGTCTTTTAAACTTATAGCTAAAACATAGTGGACTCTTGAATACAAAGAAAAAGAATTAAACACAAATACCATCTTACTATTTTTCATTTTTTTCTTAAATATGTTGTGATCTGTTTTGTATTTATTTTGTAGGAACATTTTAACTTATTATTAGTAATTAGATAAATGAAATAGTCCTAACTTTTGTATGAGAAATAGAAACGAAAAAGAAATAGAAAAGAAAACCGAAGGCGTTACTACACATTTCGCTGTTAAAAATAATTACAATTTCTTCTAATCTTTTTTTAGTTAATTTTGCGCAGAGTAACGTCCAACATTTTCTTTTTAAATATGTTTTATATTATTATACTTATAATCGACAAATCTACAATCAAATCTATATTTAACAAATTACTTATTGTTAATAACAATCATTGTACTGTAATGATGGATTCTCTTCCCTTACCAACTCCTATCCATTTCACTAAAAATAAATAAATAAATAATGAAATTTATTGAAATGGTGAAGTTATTATATAAAGTTACCTGGAACATCAAGATGATGTTCAATCGTTTCAACATAACGCTTAGCGTTTTCAGGAAGATCTTCATAATCTCGAATTTTTTCCGTACATGTTTCCCATCCAGGTAATCTCAAATACTCAACCTATTTTAATTAAATTTAAAAATGTTATTCAGAATAATAAAAAAATCGGAAAACAGAATAAATAAGTTAAATAAATTTAATTTTTAGAATGTTCCAAGCATTTCTAAGAAACAAAATCAGAAACTTCCAAGTATTTCTGAGGCTTATTTAGATGCAAGAAGATATCCCAATGTTTGGGATTTATTTGTATCCCATCCGGATTTTCAAGAATTTATAAATTAACAACTTTGCGTCTAACATAAGTATATTTACACTAATTTACAATTTGTTTTTCTTCTACAGGGGGTGTCCCGCAACGATTGTACAAAACTGCATCAGCATATTCTATGATCAAAAATAAACAAGAAAAGCTTAATAAACATAGGTCCGAAAATGGACCATTTTCGAGATATTCAAAGATTTAGTTTCATAAGTTGATATTGTTAACATTATGAATTTAAATTTNAATTTCCTGTTAATCTTGCCAACAGTTACCAAATTTACAAAACTTTGATAGATATAGCAAAAAAAGTAAAATGTATTATTTTTTCTGGCTCTAAACCTATAAACTCAACAATTTTTGATGAACGAACCTCGTCACATTCAAATCACATTTGAAGGAAAAGTTAAAGTGTTCACTTAGTTTCTGTATTAAGCCTTTCTTGTAGATACAACACTTGCTGATGAACTTTACTGACGATAGGGATAACTGTTTGCCCCTTACATCTCGTAAATTAAACATCAAAAATGATACATTATCAACCAGTGTTACCTATCAACTGGATAAATATAATTTTCGAATTCTCATCTTCATTTTTCAGATTTTCCAAGTTTTCAACAGATTTAACGTCATCATATCCCATTTTGATTACTTAAATTTTTTTTTTCATTATCATCGCCAGATCTTTTCTGGTCATCTATTCTCACACATTCTGTTCAAATACCCATACCATTCTGCATTTTGACTAGTAATGTCTATATGTAATGTGTTGCACTCTATATATTCTGAAGCTTCGTTGGAGAGCGTCCATTTCTAAGGAACCATATTGCCATATCACTTTATTCCCTTAGACCACCATATGCTGTTTTTCTGTTGTACTGCTACACGCCCTACGTTTATTCCATGAGCCCTCTAACAATTTTGAGTTTTACTGAATATAAGTATGTAAACTTTTTGCGCTCCCTTATTTGGCAGCCTTCAACATTCAAATGTTCCATGTCCACTCCCACCCCTAAATNCCCTTTACAGGTAACACGGAATCGTATGTCAGGGATTCTACACATTTTGTGGAATCGGTAAAAGGTGTAAAGCTGGATGCTGGGGATATGTTGGTAAGTTTCGATGTGGAATCCCTTTTTACTAGGGTACCAGTTATGGATGCTGTAGAGGGTCTTCGCCAAAAACTCATTCCGGAGGATTTACCAGGATACGTGCCAGATCTGGTGGAGTATTGCTTATCGTCGACGTATTTCAGCTGGAAAGGAGAATTTTACGAGCAGTTCGAATTTAGTTCTAATTTCTACATGGAATTATTCGAAGAGGACGCTTTGAAGAAGAGCCAGTGGAAACCAAAACTATGGCTCCGATATGTGGATGACACGTTTGTGATATNTATAAGTATGTAAACTTTTTGCGCTCCCTTATTTGGCAGCCTTCAACATTCAAACGTTCCATGTCCACTCCCACCCCTAAATATTTCTATCTTTGTTATGTTTATTTCAAGCGTTTATTTTATCCTATTATAGCGACGATACTAGCAAAACAACGAAATTGTTGTCATAGTTTTATATACAGGTATTTATATTGGAACGAGAGCTGTAATAAACGATAAGAGCAGCAATGAGAGCAGCGATAAAAGCAGCAATGAGAGCAGCGACAAGAGCTGCGCAAAATTTGTTTCTATGATATGCTGTTTATAGTGGAGCGTTGATAATAACGACGATCTCTGCTTTGTAGGTGACGTTTCATTTAATATTTTTTGAACTCATAGCATCTAGATACCTATTTCCCGCACAGAGAGGACGTGCGGGAAACGCGTTTTCCCGCACAAATGCTTTTTGTTACCGCAACAGGAATATTTAATGACCAAATGTGTATGTTTATAAGAAAAGGTTAATAAGAACGTTTTATACATTCGTGTGCAGATAATACAGTTTTAAAATATTTAAAAAAATCTATAAAAATCAATTTGCAATCAATAAAATCAATATTGACGTTTTGAATTTCGGTTGATTTTTTCCTGTCAAAAACCCCACATGCAACTCATATCGTCACACAGGGGGACGTTTTATTCGTTACAAAAAATATTGTACAATACTCATGCGGAAAGGATTTTTCCAGCATTCGCACGCAAATGCAGAACTCACTCCCTTCGGTCGTTCGTTCTGCAAACCAACGTGCTCATGTGAAAAGCGAGTCTTTCCGCATTTGTATCGTAAATAACTAATAATATAATAAATACCAAACGGTATACGTTTGGAGAATTTCATCACCTTTATAAACACTTAAGGCAACACCTTGCAAAATTCATGGAATATACATCACTGTACCCCATGTTATCATAGGTGACGAAGCCTTTCCACTTCTCCCTAATTTATTGAAACGTTATCAAAAACAATAAATTGATACAGATAAAGACTACTTTAATCAGATATAGATTAAATTGATTATCAAAAGCACGAAGAACAGTTGAATGTGCTTTTGAAATATTGTATACTAAGTGCAGAATTTTAGGAAGAGCGATACACAAACTTCTACAGATGTTGCTGATGATATTGTTAAGTGCATCTGTTTGCTACATAATATTGTTATTGATAGAGAAAGCATTAACCAGCAAGAAATATCATCCCAAATAATACTGGAAGACTAAAACAATATGCTGAAAATATTTAAAACGTATCTTTGTCGTAATCCAATTTAAATACTATTACTATTGAAGATATAAAACTATACATTTTTCCTATTATAATAGTATAAATTTCCTATTATTTTTCACAAAACTATGACAACAATTTCGTTGTTTTGCTAGTATCGTCGCTATTATCGTTTATCGCAGCTCCAACGTAAACGCACCCTAAGGAACCATATCACTTTATTCCCTTAGAGCACCATATGCTGTTTTTCTGTTGTACTGCTTCACGCCCTAGGTTTATTCCATGTGCTCTCTCACAATTTTAAGTCTTACTGAATGTAAGTATGTAAACTTTTTGCGCTCCCTTATTTGGCAGCCTTCAACATTTAAATATTCCGCGTCCATTTCCACCCCTAAATATTACTATCTTTGTTATGTTTATTTCAAGCCACTCTCAGCTTCTCCCCGTCTCCCTACGTCTCTTTGCCGCCATCACCTCCCCCATCAATCTCCTTCCCTCCGCCCTCTCCCCCAGCACCTGCCTCCAATCCATCACCTCCTCCCTCAACTCACTACACTTCACCAGCAGATAGTGTAGATTGCACCCCCTCCTCATCTTCCATCCAATATCTTGGTCCTTTCTTCATTCCCACACTTAAACCAGGCTTCCAACCTCATCCACTCCTCATCCCCCTCTGTCATCAGATACTTTGCCAGCCCCTCTACTACAATTTCATTATATTTTGGATTGTACCTGCCTTCCCTTATCGCCGTCCTTCTCTCTTGCATTCCCACATCGCTGTTCTTCCGTTGTTTGCACATATCAATCCTCTTTTCTTTTCCTGTCCACTTCTTTCGTTGAATACCCCACCCTTCTGTAGTATTCCTCCGCTGCCCATAACGCCCCTTACTTGCCTCAATCTGTCTGTAACACTCCCCCAAGATTTTACAATACCCTCTACCTTCCACCCCCTCCTCAAAACGCACTGCTTATTTACCCGCCTCCACTCTCACCTTATTTACCTTCATTTCTTCCCTTACTATATATCCCAGAGTCCCCCTAGCCAACCCCAACACCCACCTTCAGTACCTGGTCTGTACATCCTCCAAGAGCCCTTTGTTCCTTAATGTTATCTTAATGTTGCTCCTTAATCCCTTTTACATTGTCTATTATTTTTCTCGATATTTCCTTCTTTTCTCCATCTCCTCCCATAATTTCTCTCTATTTACTCTGCCAAACGCCGCCTTTAAATCTATAAATAGAGCATAAAGCTTCCTTCCCTTTCGATCCAGTTCTCTATCTACCAGGTATTTCAATATATAAACGTTGTCTATCGCTCCCCTTCCCTTTTTAAACTCTGCCTGACCATCTGGCAGGAACTCCCTGTCCTCTACCTCTTTTTCCAGCCTGGCAAGCAGTACCTTCGCGTATATCTTGTACGTCGTATTCAGTAAGCTGATACCCCTATAACACTCCACTGTATCTTTCCTTCCCTTTTTGTACAAAGCACTTATTATCGCCGCCCTCCACCCCTTCGGAAACCCTTCTTCCTTCCATACCTTACTCAACGCCATCCACAACCTCTCCCTCGCCTCTACCGTTGCCTCCACCCATGCGTCGTTTTGGACCCCATCTTCTCCAGATACCCTTCTCCTCTTCAATCCCCCCAATACGTCTCCACCTCCTCCTCTATTATATCATCTTCCCCTTGTTCCCACCTTTCCTTACACCCCCCAGTAACCCCATAAAGTACTCCTTCCACTTCGTCATGGGTAAACTCACTGGTAACTAAATCTCTCCCCTTTCTTATCTTATTTATGCATCTCCAGACACCCCCTCCCGTCTCACCAGTTTAATCTCGTCCGCCTTCCTCTCCCTCAGCTCCTTCTTCTTCCTCCTGTCTCTATGTTTCTTTATACCCCTTTCTTGCTTCCCTATATTGTTCCGCCCCTGTCTCAATTTTCTTCTCTTCGCCTCCCTGCATTCCCCAACTCACCACTCGTTTCTGCCAAGTTTAGCTCCACCCCTCGCACGCATTTCTTTAATATTGCATAGGATATATATACTTGAACATAGAAGCATCTTAAATATATAGGTACTTTACTGCACTATACAGTTGTTTTATAGTCCTCGCATAATCTTAAATTATGCTTGTGTTGCCTAACACTTTAAAGTTTAAGAAGAAAGGGGAAAAGTAGTTCCAACATTTCTCAGCGACAAGTAGTGCGTCAAGGTAGAGTTTCTAATATTATAGAGTAACAAGATACTGTTGTTTGAATTTTTATAATGTTAGATCATGTTGATGTAATATTAATACAAAAATGCTTGATTAATAGATATTCAATCATGATGTTGACGTCACTTTTAATGTTTAATTGTACATTTTGCACTTCTACTCACGAGATTATCCCCTCATGTCGTTTTATCATGGAAAAACGTCTTTAAGTGCCCATAATTAATTTTACTATTAGAGAATGCGATATATTGTGAATATAATTACGATAAGAATGACGAGATCGTCATCGACCTCCTAAGATCAGTTGTCCCCCCAAAATTTGGAATTAAGAATATAATAAAATGGTGAAGGGGGTTACAATCTTCCTTGTCTTCAAACGAGTTTCTGTCACAAATAAGCTGCTCATCATCAAATAAGCAAGCATTTCAATGATAGGGACAGCTTGTTCTTCCGCCAGGAGTACTCCATTTAATAAATTATGTATACATCCTAAAATAATGTAAATTTGTGATAAAATATAATTTTAATTCACTTTTATTGTTTTTCCTAAATAATTAATTCTGTTTTCCGATTAAAGTATTTATTTTTATACCGTTATAAAAAATATCGTATTGGTTAATATTTACCTCAACTTTCGACAATTGCGATAAACTTGACGGAAACGATTCGATTTTCTTCCCATTTAGTGTGTATGCAACGGCAACCTTAATTTCTTTGAGTGTATCTAAAATATCCAACTTGGTAACGCACAGTGACGTGTACCCATTGACCATGTTTGTGTAGTTCAAGAGGACAAGATCTAACCACCCGCAACGTCGTTTTCTGCGTGTAGTTACACCAATCTCACCACCCTTAGTTTGTAATAACTCATAAACATCCTATAAATATTATTATTAAATATAAATGACACTTATATAATACTTTATTTACATCAAAGAGTTCCGTTGGAAAAGGACCATCACCAACACGTGTTGTATAAGCTTTAACAACACCAATAACATCACCAATACTACTTGGTCGTAAACCTAAACCGGTTAAAACACCCCCAATACTGCAATTAGATGAGGTTACGTACGGATATGTGCCTAAAAAGATATTTATTTAATAAGAATTAGTTAATGATTAAAATGATTATTACCAAAATCTATGTCCAGCATAGCCGCGTTGGCGCCTTCAACCAGGATTTTTTTACCTTCTTTAAGAGATTTGTCAAGTAGGAAGACTGTTTCTACGGCAAGGGGTCTCACTTGTTCCGCGTAATCTTTGTACTTTTTTAATTCAAACTCAACGTCGACGTTTAATGATGGAAACATTCTTTGGTACATACTTACCAAAGATTTATATCTAAATAATTACCAAAAATAATTAATTATATAACATAAACAATCTTGGTATCTTATTATTAAAGTAATAATATAAAATGCATGTGATTATAGTTTGGCAAGATACTTTTATGGTTATTATTAAAATGCATTTTTGGCAAGAAAAGAATTAAATACGCCAATACAGTTAAAAGGGCATAAAAGAAAAACGAACCTCTTAGAAAATTGTTCAAAGTCGCCTAATAGGTCGCCTATTCTTAGACCGTTTCTCGTTGCTTTTGATGAATAAGTAGGCCCAATTCCGCGTTTCGTGGTTCCCAAACTTTGACCACTCTCGCTATTTTCCTGTTCTTGTAACCCATCGACTTGCTGGTGAAAATCGAAAACTAAATGGGCGCGATCTGAAATCATTAAGCGACCTTTCCAATCCTTAATGCCCTTAGCTTCGATTTTTGCTATCTCTTCAAATAAACCGGGCAAATGAATAACCACACCATTTCCTATAAAATAAAATAAATATATTTATATTCGTTACTAAAACGAATAAACTAAAATCAATACGGAAATAATAATGCTGGTTTCTATTTATTGATATGATTTATTATCCGCATTGAATAAGTTGTACCACCCAATACAATGACACTAAACCAATTAAAATAAACTTCTAGTTTAGCCACAAAACTATTTCTAGTATAAATATTTCTTAAAATCAATTTCGAATTGGAATTGCTTGTTAAACGTTCAGAAATGCAAATAAGACCCTGAAAATCTCGAAGTTAAATCGAAATTAGATTCAAGGAACAACTGTATAAAAGTTTAAATAAAGTTGGATATGTAGTTTACTAGTTCAAAGTCTTAGAAGTATTAATGCAACTTCTCCAAACTGAAATGAATGTCTTCAAATATACATTAAATTTTTTTTTAATAAAAACGATCTAAATGTTATTGTTCGCGGAAGAAATAAAAACGCTGCAGTTATCATGCAACGTAAAAGTCATTTTCAGGATCAATAAACGGTTCAATAAGTGATGACTAAATGTTAATGACTTATCCATTAAAATTTTGTAGCGAAAGAAAGTATCAATTTTGTTAACCCATTTGTATAAAAAGTTAATTTTCCGGATTACATTTTAACTTTTGAACTTCATACGGATTTTTTAGGAGTTGGTTATTGCTTAATTACAGCGTGATAACAACACATGAGATAAGTTATTTTCTATATTAGTAAAACTTTTTCTGCAATTGAGTGACTTATTAAACCACTCAACGTGAACGTTTGATTCTTAAAACTTAAAAAATTCGCTAAAAGGATTATTCAAGGGTTGCTAAGTGGTTAAGTCAGTATTGTTTGATCTTGAAATTAAGCATTGTAAAGGAAATGAAAATATATATAGTTCCAGATATGTTGAATCGATCGAACAACACTGTAAATGTTAATGAAATGCAATTCTTCTGATCATCGTTTTTTTGGGTTTTAAAGATTATGTCGTTTACAAGGTGCAAGATTCTAAATCTGTGAGTTGCTATGTATCTCAATTTTCAATATGGCAGATGATTACGAACGATTTTGTTGAGTAACAATTGATCATCAGCATACCTTCACGATTTTCCCATTTCCGTTGAAATCAACAATGGCAAAAAGCAGCATACAAATCATCAAACGCTAAATACATATATCAACAACATGCATTACAGAATCAAGAGACCTATAAGTAATAATTAAAAACAATGAGTGTTTCAGAATAAATGTGTGAACAAAATAGATTGACTCTGAAGAGAAAAGGACATTGTGAGTGTTTCTATTTATTTAGTAATAACAAGATTATTAGTAGTAAGGAGAATAATTCTAAAGAGCATAACGTTAGGCGTGCATTCCAGAATGCAAAGAAAGCCTGACTTGTGTATAGTGTTACTAGAATAAGAAGCAACCTCGTAGTCGCCTTTTAGTTTTTGGTGTATTAGGCAATTTTATCCGTAGAGAGAGACCCTTGTTTTGATAAGTCCATTTTAAACGTGGTCCCTCAAAGGGTAATTTGAACTATGATTACAAACTCGCTTAAATGATGAATTCGTACGCAGGTGATGTATTTATAATTGAGGAGGATTAATTGAGAAAACTGAGGTTGATTAACATCAAAGAAGAACAAAAAAGGAAGGAAGACCAGAAGAATCAGAATGCCGAAATCAAATGAGAACTGTGTTATGCTAGTAAGGAACATCTACTAAGAAGGACGTTGCATCGAAGGACCCTGCCGCACCCAAAGCTGAAGATCAAAAGCTGGCTCAGATGGTGCTCAATATTCTTCATGAATTGGTCCCTATGATACTAGCACAAATCAGGAATGGTAACTAAACCTAACGATATTTTACTTCAAGAAAACAAGGTGGTGATACGGAATTAGTAAAAAGACTTTTGTAATTTGTAAACAAAGAACAGATCTCGTTAATGATGATAAGCCAAACGCGTTTGAAGGCACATCAGTCCCGTATAATACCAGCATATGATTCAGAAAGAACAGAAAGATACGGCCATGGCAGGCGTTGCAGTTTATGTACGTTCGAAATATCCGTAAAGATAAACACGTGATATTATGGAAATACATAACTATGGAAAAGTAATTTATGGCACCAATTTGAATGCAAAAAATCCTGCTTGGGAAAGCCTCATAACGTACACTAGGGGAAGAGAATTATGGAATACTACCAAAAACAATGAGGTCCAACCAAGAGCAGTGGACATGTAATCGATAGATATAGACGAAGTGCGAACTATGTTCAAATCACTTTGCAGTGATCGCCAAAATGTCAGGAGATTCGAATTATACTAGGACTCTAAAGGCAAAGATCACTGGCCATAATTTTCTTACAGGTTAGAAGAATACACCTTAAAGATACACCTTCTTAAAGAGAAACAAAACCCTCCTTGAGGATGGGAAGACTTAAATCAATTCCTATGAAAGCTCTTGAAGAAGATAAGAAGAAAGTCAGAACCATAAGACGCCATTTAAAAGTACCAGATTGAGACGAAGATAGTTTAGGATAATAAAATGGAACTCATTTCCAGAATTATGGAAAATAGTGGTGTTAATCCCAAAAATATTAGTCTCTTGGCCCAAGGTTTATATATTAAAGGTTGTCTAAGTTCCTATGCTGCAATACTTTGATTTTAGTTTGTGGGCGAGGGGCAAGAGCAGAAGTGTTTCGTGACGTAAGCGATCACGGATTGCGCACGCAACCTCATGGCCATGTGGTGCTCCATGCCTTTGTTTAATTTGAATTGCTTGGCGGTATTATTTTCCACATGTGACGTAATGCGCAGTATGATTGCGTACGAACCTAGACAACCTCTTATATATAAACCTTGCTCTTGGCCAGGATGTCAAATATTACTGAAAAAATTCTGCTGGAGCGACTGCAAGAAGTAGAGGCAAAATGACTATTCTCGAAGAATCAATTTGCACTCACTGGAACTTGCCCAGAAGAAAAGATATTAGTCGATTACGGTACTATTAAATGTCGAGGTTTACGACTCCGTCTGACAAGATGACGTGTTGGCAAAGATGATCGAGGATAACCTGAAAAGGAATCTAGTCAAAGTCGATTTACTTAGACTTGACACTCTATTTCCAGTTATTCAGGTTAACAAGTCCTCCCTTCCTTTCCAACGAATTGCTGGACTGGTGACATAATATCATGATGACATAATATCATAAAAATGACAGAACCTTACATTTTGACAAAGCGCACTAAATAACTTTAGGAATAAGTTACATCTCGATTTAATTTTCAACAATGACCTTCTCTTACAAAATCAACGACCAGATCGAACATATATCAATCAGTTATTAACGTTCCTTTAGTGTCGATGAATATCTCATATTATCCACAATTGAAATGTAACCATAGAGTAGCGTCATTGCTCGCTGAAACCTCAAATGTGCTCCTGGATTTGACACGATTGTAATCTAACTTCTCCCTCAGTCTTAGTATCTGTTGTAACTGCAAGCAGGAAAAAGATCACTTCTGGACTGGTCATGGACTGCCATTTAACGTTTGAGGAATCGGTAAGACATAACTGTGTTCCACTCTGATCGTTAAAGGGGAATCAAACGGGAATGCTGTCGACTAAGAGTTTGAAAATTTGGATATAAGTTTATATCTACCATTTACAAATTGTTTGAATGCCATTCAGCAATAGTTTAAGTGCATGACAACTGATAGTGAGAATGTATTTGAAAAGCAAAAATACTGTCCTGCAATTTTTTTTGGACATCTCATAGACTTATCTACAAATTGGACAAAAATCTGCCGCGGAACTACTGTCAACTACTAGAATCACATCTTTCTAATCAACATTCAAACCGATCTTGGCTGGAGTTATACAAGACAGTGTCTTAAGACCACTCCTTTATCTACTGTATACTTTTAAAGGTACCTTGATGGCAGACTGAACTGGAAGCATCATGTTAGAGAGAATGTTGAGCAGATTAGACCCCACAATAAATAAATCTACAAAGTAGACAAATGTATGCAATCAAAGAATAATAATTAAGTCTATCTTAGGGATCCAATTAATTACTCATCCAACGTACTTAAAACAAATTTCTTAAACAGATTACCAATGTTTATCGTTATATAACCAAGCAAGAAAAGCATGATCACCTCCAATTAAATGGGTCTACGAAGTAATCCAAGATTTCGTTGCGACATTCCACCGTTGAAGTTATTTAGTTTCTAAACAATACCAGGAACTCCAAAAATTGAAATACTACATGTATTTTTAAACGTTATGATTGCGTTAATAAAGACGTGCATGGAAGTAGTGCTTAGGAAAGTCAGCGGAGTAAGTAGAATAACACGAGATGCAGTACGTTAATCAATCTCAATGAATCTCCGGGATATTAATCAGAACATATTAGAAATCAACCAACAATATGATCAATAGTTACAACACAACACATTTCGAAAATCGTTGATAAATATTAGAAGCTTCAAAGCGCAATGATTACTACATCCACATCATTAAAGCAGTTAGGTTGAATAACAACTGAGGAAAACACAAAACATCGAAAAAAACGGCATGGTTAATAAAGTGATTATTGCATTATAATTCTGAATCTGAATAATAAACCATATCTTTAATGTGTAGAATGTAAAAATTGATTCTAATGAAATCAAACCACGAAATTTATCGATTTCGGATAATTTTTATTTGAAAGCAATTTTCCACAATTAAAACCGGTTAATTTAAGTTCTACGAGTTTTCATATTTCATTCGAAATTTGACGGGGAAAATATCCTTGATGATTATTTACTGACGCAAATTTATCACGTGAGCGAACCACGTGCGCGTCTTTGGTCAAAAACACTGAACGAACGCGCGTTTAACACGTGGCATTGTACCAAATGTCAAATAATGAAATGAAAAGGAAACGTGCGTGGACGCGGGCCAACTGATTCGGTTATATAATAAGTCTAGAATGATTGTTGTTGGGTCGTGTGCGTATTTAAACGTCACGAGGTCCGGGAAATTTGGTTAAGTTTTTGGAAGATATCCAAATTGCAGACAATGTTAAAATCTTAGAGTATCAGCTGGTCGAAGAACATAAATTTATACTCACCAATTATTGATATACATTGGGGATTAATAATTCCGCTGGGTAATAAGTGAAAATCGTATTCAGCTCCGTTAACAACAACTGTGTGTCCTGCGTTATTTCCACCCTAAAAGAAAAGATACAAAAATTACACATAAAAAAAAGTTATATAATTATGGTGAAAACTGAAACATAAATATTTTTTTTAAACATTATCAACAACAGTGTCTGCCAAAAACTCTAGACACACACAGATTAGTTTATTTTAAAACTATCTTGTTCTTGACCTCTTCGGTTTAAAGGACGTACTCCTCCGAGAAGGATATTTTTGTACAATAGTCGTCATTGATAAGATTAAAAAAATGCGGTTCTGACACGGATTAGAAAAATTATTCTATCTTAAATGACTTTTTTGTATTTAAAACCGTTAAAACCTTTTGTTTTAAGCGAGAAGTTTTAGAGGTTTTAAAAAGGTAAGGTGAAACGTAACGTTAAGTGATTTACACGGTCGGCAGTAACGTTTACAATTTTATTTTTAACCAAATTATTTTCAGTGATCTCGTGATTCGGTAAAACAACACTTGTTGCCACCAACTGACGTACACATTTCAAACAAAATAATTATGTATATAAATTGAGGAAATATTTAAAATAATGTATATTTAAAAAAATTACATAAGTTATAAAAATGTAAGTAACATACTTATTACAATTAACAACGTATTAGATAAATGTTTGTATATAAGTATATGAACAACACTTTGAAGATTCGTTATATCACCATGTTTTGTTCAATAAAGAGATATTGAATTTATGTGTAATCAGATCATTATGGCACACCTCTGAATAATATTCTAAAAATAATTCTAAATAAATAATCTTCTTATATGTGCATCATTCTTTATGTCAGAGAAGCTATTGTTGTTTACGGAACATGGGAATAAGGAGTAAATATTGGATAGGGAAAGATATTGTTGAGAGGGTTATGGTAGCGGTACAAATGCCATGAGACCAAAGACAGACAATAAAAATTATACATATAGTGTCTTGAGTTGGGTTAAATTATTTCGCCGCGCCTCATGGAGACGAATCCTGAAAGGAAACCTAAGAGTGAAGGGAGTGGGATAGGTACATTGAATAAAACATTAAACAAACTGAGAACACAGCAGTATGAAATAAAAAGCAGTATGTAATACACGAAACTCGAAAGCTGGGTGATAGAATCAGAGATACAGTAGAGCCCCGATTATCCGCGAGTGCCGTGAAATATTCTTTCGTGAAAAAGCAGATGTGTTTACAATACGGGATTGGGGAAACAACAGTGCGAGATGTTTTAAAGCAAAAAGAAAAGTTATTGGCTTTTGCAACAGTTTCAAACAGTGTTTCTGGAATGAAAAAACGAAAAACAATGAAGAAATCCACGTACAGTGAACTTGACTCGGCATTAGCGGAGTGGCTAGCTCAAGAGCGAAGTGAAGGCACTCCTGTATCCGGTCCTAACATTGCAGCTAAAGCAAAAGTCTTCTTTGATTTGTTAGGACTGGAAGGAAATTTTGATGCGTCGTCCGGTTGGTTACATCGTTTTAAGAAACGTTATGGAATTAGGGAGATAGGTCTTCATGGGGAAAAGCTGAGCGGTGATCAACAAGCAGCTGACGATTTTCAACGTGATTTTGAAAAGTTTGTAATGTCGGAAGATTTGTCACCAGAACAAATTTATAATGCTGATGAATCAGGGCTTTTTTGGAAGTGTCTTCCCACTCGCACTTTAGCATTTGAAAGTGAACATAAAGCGGCAGGACACAAAAGTAGCAAGGAAAGAATCACAATCTTGCCATGCAGCAATGCTGCTGGTACCCACAAACTGAAACTTCTTGTAATCGGTTGATCTAAGAAACCAAGGTCTTTTAAGGGGACAAGAGCAGACAATTTACCAGTCGATTATTTCAATCAAAAAAAAGGTTGGATGAACCAGCAGATTTTTCAAGAATGGTTTGAAAAGATTTTTGTGCCTCAAGTACGTAAACACCTTGATTCAAAGAATTTACCAAGAAAGGCCGTTTTATTAATTGACAACGCGCCTTCACACCCTGCCGCAAGTGTGCTTAAATCTTCTGATGAACAAATTTTTGCAAAGTTTTTGCCCCCAAATGTTACTGCGCTCATACAGCCTATGGACCAGGGGGTCATTGCAACTGTGAAGAGGATATACAGAACAAAGTTGGTAAAAACAAAAATTGAAGAAGGTTACGATTTTAAGCAGCTTTGGAAGATGTATACAATTTTGGATAGCATTTACGATATTGCGTTTGCATGGGATTGTATTAAACCGTCAACCCTCGTCAAATCGTGGAGAAAACTCTTTCCAAATATTGAAGTAAATGTCAACCAAAACATTGGTGAAGAACATAATGAAGATATGCCTATCGCTGCACTTATTGACTTAGTGACATCCGTTCCGGGAGGTGAGAATGTAAATCAAGAAAACATAGAAGAGTGGCTGGAATGTGACAAAAATGAGCCAGGGTTTGAACGACTATCTGACGTAGAAATAACAAACAAAGCAATGGGAGTGAACGAAGAAAACGAAGAAATTGAAAGTGAAGAAGGCGAGGTGCTTGCGCGGATGACACATGAAACTGCTTTGCAGCATGTAGACGGATTGCTTCAATATTTAGAGGAGCAAGACGACGCACATCTGGCAGAAAAACTTATGCTAAGGAACGTACAATCCAGAATAAAGAAAAGGTGCTTCCAAAGCAAGAAGCAAAAGCTAGTGACCGATTTTTTTAAAAAGATGTAACTGACAGTTTTTGTCTACAGTACAGTTTTGTTTACAGTACAGTGATACAATACATATGTACATATTATTTTTTGTTTATTACTAGTCTTTACTTTAGTCTTTAGTGATTTACATGTAGAAGAAAGGTTTAAGTAAAATAGTCTTTATGGTGAATTATGTTTTGTGTTTCCACCTTATTTTTAGTCTTTTTCGGGTTATCCGCGATTTTTATTATCCGCGGCGCCCTTGCCACCCAATTCCGCGGATAATCGGGGCTCTACTGTATTTATACAATGGTAAGCAGACAATCCCGGAGTAACTAGGATTGGGTAAACTGTCCGACGGAGGAAGAGGAGTTTGAAATAAAAGAAACCTTCTATCAACAACTAGAAAACATGTAAGACTCATCCCCAAAAAATGACATCAAGATAATAATCTGAGATATGAACGCGAAGATCAGAGAACAGCAGAAATTTATGGGAACAATAATTGGCAAGCATCGTATGAACGAGGAGATTAATGAAAATGGTGAATTTCTGATTAATTTGGCAGCGGGTAAGAATATGAGAATAAATTCAACATATTCCCCTCACCGGGATATACATAAAGCCATATGGTGATACCAGATGGAAATACAGTACACTCGCGATAGTGTGAACACAAAAATACGGTGGGTCGGTCATACTAACGAGGGTCTTCATAGAAACGAGGATGTAATTAAATAAATTAAATTTATTACTTAAACCTAAGTCAGTTATTCATAAACATTCCTAAGACTTAAAAAAATCTGTAATTTTTTTCTGAATATTTTTTTGAACAATTTTGGCCATAACTGCTTTTCTTTGAATTGCTTTCAAGATAATGATTTCACTTATATTTATGGAATTTTGATTTGACCATTCCACAGCAACATTAAATGCTTTAGTTGCATCGGAATGGCAAATTTTTTTTCAGTGCACTCATCTGAAGAAGACATTTCCACAACATTTGCTGCCTCATCCTTGTCGAAATGTTGCACACCTGCAGCAGTGTAGTCACCCTAAAATGTGCTGTTTATGATTTTACTAAACTCGACTTCTAAACACTTATGTATCAACTTACTGGAGCTACTTCCTGTAGTAAATTTATTGCATCCCTAATAGCATCAACGAACAAAGTTTTTCTCATCTTAATTTCTCCCTTAATGTACTTAACGGAATGTTATCTTCGCCTGCATCCTCATTATGTTGATTAAAATCTGAGAGGATGTTTCTCCAAGTCTTCTCGGTTATTATTGAGCTAAGTTTTTCCCACGCTGCAGATAAATGTATGATTGCATCTTTTAGTGAAATCTTACTGAGTGCTGCAACTATTCCTTCTTCCGTTGATACAGCAGAACTGAGCAAACTGTTTCTATAGTACAGTTTAGTGAGCCTTACAATATTTTGGTCCATGACTTGTATTACAGACATAACATTACAAGGTAAGAATTTTATAAAGGTTATCCCATCTTTAGTCCTCAGTTCTGTTATTGGTGGATGGAACGGCGCGTTATCCACCACGAGAATTGCTTTCTGAGATAACTCCTGAGCACGCAGAAAACATCTCACCTACCTCTACGCCTTCTTAGAGCTTTTGTACAGCAATGGGTTGTTAAAATTCTTAAAACACCCAGGATTTTTTGATTTCCCTATCACTAGGGGTTTGAGCTTATGGAAGCCTGAAGCATTTACACAACCCATAAACGTCAGTCCTTGCTTCGAAATTTTTTATCCAGGAGCAGTTAATGCTAATGAGACATACGTTTTGGCAGGCAATAAGCGCCAATACAATCCTGTCTCATCAGCATTATAAATCTGATGCCACTTTAAGTCATACTCTAGAATCATACGTTTTAGATCCTCTTTAAAAGTGTCTACTGCATCCTTGAAAAACCTTACGCCACAACGGTATTTAAATCTTTGCAGCAAACCATCGCTGGCCGTGAAAGTATCAACATTCATTTGTTTTGCATATTTCCCGAAATTCGTGAATTCTTTTCTTTTTCTTTAAGAAACTAATTGTTCGTATGCCCAGGTTCAATCATAAGTTTTACATGCTTGTACAACATTCTCAGCATATATGTACTTTGTTTCCTGTATATATATTTCTAGTTCCAACTTTATTTCCATCTTTTCGCACTTTCTTTTCCAGTATTTAAGTGCCCCATTTAAGTAGATTCTGAACATCTTTATATCAATAAATATTGGACCTGTTAGTCTATATCTTTTTTTTTATTAATTGAGTCAAACAGAAGTAAATATAGAAAATACTGAAATAAATCAGCAACGACAGCAACAATAAGAAGGGTCTTACAATGAACCTTTAAACACATCGCCAAGTATTGGTGAAATAGGAAACACCATTAAGGCGCGGAGAGGCGCCGGATATTGATACTTCGGAAGTTATAAAAAACGAAGGAAATCTTTTGATCAATAGCCTATTCCAACTAAATATCTTTTGAGTAATGGATATAAAATATTTACATACATACTGAAACTGCGTCTACAGGAGTATGCAGAAAAAAATAATAGAAGAATATGACCAGAATATCTATTACAGCAAGCTGCAATGCTCTCAGAATTTATCAACACCCAGAGATTGCAGGAGAATGCAAGGTGCGAGACTTAGGGGAACGCCGAGAGCGAGATGAGAGGACTAGACGAACCGGGACACCAAAGATATGCTTGGGTCCAGATCAGGAGGAGGAAGGTCATGGATAGAGAGGCTCGGAGGCAAAAATTGAGAAAGGTCTGGGACCGATAACGGTCTATTGTTCAACCGCAACAAAGTCCTAACTGTGAATAGGTCGTAACAATACGTAGTTGAATCAAAAGAGTCAGAACGACCAAAACGAGAAGCCGTAGGGAAGCTTCCTTTGGGGGGAAGATGATCGCCCGAGCGTTATTCTTCCCACTTTCCTTATGGAAGTTCCACAATTCAATACAAAAGTTATCGTAGACTTTCTAAATAATGAATGTTATATATAAATATTGAAGACCAAAATACACACGTAGATATCGAAATTAGTGTTAAAATAGAAGTTCTTTTGCAAGGAGAAAAAACTTATTTAGACAATAGCTTCTTAAAGTTAACCGTTAAGCAATTATAATACATATAACCATAATAATATAAATGATACCGACACACAACAAATGAAATAGATGTTATAAAGGTTAAAATGTTGTTTTAAATTATCGAATCGCTTTCGATAATAATTTCATGTCATATCAAAATAATTTCACGAGATATTAATTAATAAAAATTATCATACCGTAATCACAATATCTGTTATCGTATTCAGCGGTTATAAAATAAAGCAAAAGATTACAACACCAAGATAATTTCGTTTTTTATTTATGATCAAATGAGAAATCGTTTACTTTTTCTCGAAACTGTACAGCATAAAACGATGACATAATCAAAAGTATGCCCCACTACTCAACTTGACTTAGAGTCCATTGTTTCAAACGAGTTAAAGTTTATTTTATAAAACGTGATTAAAACGCGCGCGATTATTTCGCACTAAGGCCTCTCGAAAAAAAATTTTACGTCACGCGGCTATGACTCATCATCAAGGAAAAGTAAACATTTAAAATTCGATTAAAACCATCGTTTTAACATCCGAAAGTTTCCGCAAATTAACACATTAAAAGGAATGTATAATTTTTAGTTTACATCATTCGCGTTACATAAACGAATGACTTAGAATAGATTTTAATCCATATTGAAGAACAAATTTATTATCTCTATGAATTAAAGTTTATAATATCGATTAGATGTTACAAAAAAAAATGAATTTAAGTAATACGTAATTTGTCCTTGTCAGCGATTTTATTTCAATTAATATGAACTTTGTATGAAACGCAATTTTTTTAATATGCAAGGTATTTCGACATTTTTAAAAAGTTTTTATTAAAAAAATTGTTTAAGAATTCGATCGGGTTATTAATTAAATTGGGAAAAGGGCTTTAACCTATTCCGCTTACTCCAACACGTTCAGACAAGTTTAAACATGTTTCAGCGCGAAAACTCGAATAACAGTGAATCATTTTCAAGGACAATCTCCAGAACATAAAAATAAAAAATAATATTGTGTAACATAAAGAATATTATTAATTTATAAATAATTAATTCCTCTATTTTTATATGTATTAATTTTAACATATCCTGTATAATCTAAATCTAATGAAAACTCATGTTTTATTCATATAAAAAAAGGCGGTAAATTAAATTCTAACCTATACGTTTAAATCGAAAATTTCAACGTGTTTCGGTTGATAAGAAATATATATAATTCTTAATATCTTAAAGAAATCAAAATTATCTTTAATTCAATTCAATTTAATATTTCTTTTCGTTTTATTTTAAAATGCTAAAATAATAAATGAATTTTATTATTGAATTTTATATCAATCCTATATACACAGCAAATTTCGATTTTGCAAAATATATATAAATTAAAAAAATAGGGTTTTGCCTCACCTGACACCGGCAAACGACGTCTGCTTGGGTGGATAACATATCCACGACCTTCCCTTTGCCTTCATCGCCCCATTGAGCCCCTAAGACTACGGTTACCTTCGAGCGGGGTTCTTGGACACGGGGTCGTTTTCGCAACGAACCGTTCACGTTGTTCAGCCCGTTCAGTTGAACCTCGGACGCCATTTTCAGAACCGTTGACTCGCGCAGGCAGAACGCTACTAAACAAAATTTCCTTTGCGAACACGGGGCCTCTTCTATCTCTATCTGTTCCGTTTGGCTCGTAAACTACACCGTTTGGACACGTTCGATTCCACTCTGATCGTGGGAGTTGATTTTTCCACTATTTTTATACATTTTCAAGAATCTTTTTTTGATAATAGTGGGGATATTATTAAGGGTGGTGATCTGAAAAAGAATTGTTTTGATTTAAAAAGATTTCAAAATAATTATGTAATTCAGCTAGATATTACATGTTTTTATAATAATATGGTTTCATTGTATATAATGGTAATTTACTTACTTATCTAAAAATTGTCCTTATCTTGTTCGATTTTTGTGTAAATTCATAAATTTGTCAATAAAAGTCATCCTGCCAAAGAAATTAAAATATTTCAAAATTAACTTTTAAATTGACAACCAATTTGACAGCACGCTTAAAACAACATAACCTATTTCAGAGAAGATTTCTACTTTATCAATAACAAAACAAATATTTAAACAAAATGTTTAATAACTATAATTTAAAAAATTATATTGTAAATTATCGTGTGTCTCTTAAGACTGCTAATTCATAATTTTTCGTATTTTCTAGTTCTAGATCTAATATTAGTTCTAATGATAGTGCAAGTGTTAGTTCTACTTTTAATCGTTATTCAGCGTTGGAGTGTTGTTTATTTTTATTAAACTAAAACGAACACTACCTAAAACTAGAAATATTCGGATTATGGTGTAAATAGGTTTAATGTAATGGGTTATATGGATAAATAATAAATTTCAAATTTAATAACTTTTAGCTAGCGCCATCTTTTGCTCAATGTCGTTTTGTTAATTTACTTTAATTTTATCAATTAACAAAACAAAAACTTTTTCTTTCGCACCAAAGATGTCACTATAACCCCATCACAAACATGTCATTGAAAAAGTACTACCAACAAAACAACAAGAAACAATAAAAAATAAACAACCCAAATCGATAGAATTTCGAAATCGTTTCTAAAAAAACATCTAATATAACGATGACTTCGGCAAGCAGTACGAGCGCAAGGTCTCTATTTGCGGATTCAAAAATGCGTTTGGCCGACCGAGTCCAAGTGAATGTAAACAACGTGGCGTCGCTGGCGCGTCAGATATCACGAGATTCTAAAAGTAGTGAGGTATTCTTAACGCGATACAACCCGTTCTATTTTCGTAACACCTGTTTACGTGTATATTGTGTTTCAGTTGCTAATGCAATCCGCCCGAAACTTCGTCATACAAGAACACGCCATTAGGGACAGTGAGGCTAACCTAAAAAAATTACAAAGCGTTTGCGTTCATTTGGGTTATCAACACGAATCGATATTAAAGTCGTGTCAGAAAATCGAAGAAGTTAAAGAGCAAGTTAGGGCTATGCAAAGATAGTGTTTAGACGAATTGTGATTATATTTATTTATATTGAGAAAGCGAAAGTTAAAACGCGGTTGGTAGTATTGGGTGTAAAACAAAATTTTTAACCTCTCGCTGTCAATTTTAGTCCTTCTCTAGTCGTGCTAATTTTTGTTAAACTCGTTATCGTTTTTAAGTGATCGCTTCTGATTGGTGTCGTTAAATTGCCGTGTGGTTTTGTGAAATAACTATGCTGGTAAGGTATTTTGTTAATTATATGTGATTTCTTTTTAAATCGGATTGAAATAGGTAATTTCTAATTGTTTAAACGTCATATTATGGTTAGGTAGAGAATAAATTATTTGATATCATGATGAAAATGCAGTTTCATTTTATTTTATTTGATTTAAACACTTTTATTTACCTTTTATTATAATGGAGAGTATTAATTTTTTATTTTAGGTTATAAATTCTAACCTAAAAATTGTTGGTAAAATTCTAGAATTATGTGGCTTAAAAATCGACGATTTTTTTAAATCAATGTGAAATGATTCAAAAAACACGTTACAATTAAAAAGAGTGCGTAAAACGGAAAAGTGTAAAACATTCCGAAAAATCACATTAAAGTTTCGATGTGACGTCACAAGCAATGTTAACCATGCATTTTCGGCATTTTCCTATTAAACCCGTCAACAACAACCTACAAATTGTTTATTTTATAGCCACGCATAACATTAATCTGATAAACATAAAAGTAAAGTTATTTTGACTAAACTTGGTGAGATTACAACGTATATTTCGGATGAAACACCCTGGATTGTTTTTCTTAGGCTTTTGATGTATAACGACTGTCGTTAGATAGACTGTGTGTCAATAGACAGAGTCTAATACTAGAACTAACACTAGACCTAGAACTAAAAACATTCGACTTTAGCCGCACGTCTTTCAAGACGGCTAAACCCGAATAATTCTAGTTCTAGGTCTTGTGTTAGTTCTAGTGATAATGCTGGTGTAAAACTAGAACTAACACTAGACCTAGAACTAGAAACATTCTACACTTTCTACTTCTAAGTATAGTGTTAGTTCTAATTTTAGTGCAATAAAATCATGCAACATAGTGATATCATTGAATAAGTGATAACATAGCGATAGTTTCTGGTTCTAGGTCTAGTGTTACTTCTGTGTTTCAGTACTTGCAACGAGTACTGAAACACCAGCCCACGATGTCAACGTGTAAACACAAAACAGGCTGTACGTAGCCATGTTTAACATTGACCCTTCGCATTAGTGCGCATGCTCAAATTTTGTCCTAAACGTAAGAAGTTAAAAGTTGGTCAACTTCAGTCAACTTTTGGGATTACGCTGTATGCTTAAGCGGCTGTAAGCGATTGCCTAAACGAATACCATTTAACTTTATTTACTGCTACAACTACTGCAATGGTTAGGGTTGCAATCTTTATGTACGACATCCTAAATCTACCATAACACAAGACCTAGAACTAGAAACATTCAGGTTTCATGCCCATACATTGTTGACTCATCATTACAGTCGCATTATCTATTCCAATTTACTTATAACGTCCAGGGCGATATAGAATATTGCAAAAACTTGGCGCATCGTATTTAATCGTGTCTGTTTTATAAAAAAAAAAAATACTTTTTTTGGTATTTAGGTTTTTAGCACAATTTTAGTATAATTCCAAAAATTGCAATCATGACGGAACGTATCGGCAAAGAACTTTTCAATTAATTATACGCGGATAGTTTATCTGATTGTCCGAGTGATTTCGAAATAAATTATAGTGATTCTGAAACATACTGACATTATATCACCAAAACGGCAAAAAAGAAATGTTATCGAATCCGATAGTGAAAGTGATTTTGAAGATTGGAATGAAGATGACATTACACCTTCTTTGGAGGATTATTCGAACATTTCGGGTGTAACGGTAGAATTAAATGATACACCGAGCATCAGTGAAGTAACGGATTTATTTTTTGATAACGACTTTTTTGATTTACTCGTTTCTCAAACCAATTTATACCACTTTCAAATGAAACAATTCCATAAGAATGCTGCTAAAACTTTATCATGGACGAAAGTTACAACAAGCGATATGAAGAAGTTTCTTGGGTTATTGATATTGATGGGACAAACTAAAAAAGCTTGTTGGATATGAACAGGATGAGGTTCGAGCAAATCCTTACATTTTTCCGTTTCAATGATAATGGGCAAAATGTACCTAGTAGAGACAGACTTTGTAAGATTAGACCTCTATTGGATTACCTTATTCCAAAAATTTAATCTATGTGTGTACCGAAACAGCAATTATCACTTGATGAAGCAAGAAGCAAGCAGAGAGTCAGCTTCAAAACATATAATCGGACAAAGATTACAAAATACGGCATTTTACTGAGAATGGTTTGTGAAAGTGAGTCTGGGTACAGACTTTCATACAACGTTCTGGTTTATTCGGGTGGAGGACAAAAACTACAAGAAACTATATTATCAGTTGCAGCCGTATTTTGGTTCTTGGCATCATGTATATCAAGATAATTATTACAACAACGTTTCTACGGCTGGTATATTATCGGAAAAGAAAATACTTGTATGTGGTACTATACGAGAGAACCGTGGTTTGCCAAAGGTACTAATAGAAAAGTCCAAGAATCTTCAGAGAAACTTCTCACATGGAAAGATTAAAGGTTAGTGCGCATAATATCAACTATTCATGATGCGTCTATGATATCAACTGAAAAGCGGAATAAAAATTATACAAATGATAAAGTGAACCTTCGTGCATTATACAATACAATAAACACACGAAAGGAGTCGACCGTGCAGATCAGTATTTGGCGAACAGCAGTATTTATCGCAAAAGTATAAAGTGTTATAAAAAACAGCATTCTTTTTAATCATTTGTATTTTGTTTAATGTATTCAAAATTAACTCTAAAAAGTCACAAAATAAACTAAGATACAAAAAATTTCTACTACTATTCGTGCAAAAAGTCAAGGCCCCTCACTTTAGAGATCGATATCTTCGCAACCGCTCCATAAAAAAAAATTCAACAAAGTTTGTTGTAATCACTGAACATTTCTACGTAACTTATGTTAATCTGAAAATTTTCGGGTCCACGGCTTTCTTGTTACCGCGAGTTAAATGAAAAATGTACCCGATTTTTTACGGAATTGGCAACTTTATCAACTTTGCGATTTTTTTTCTCGAAAACTATCGTACGAAAAAATTTTAATCTTGAACAGGTGGTAGTCTGATGTGTTCTCAATGAGTGGCATGTTTTATTTTTTCGATATTTCATACAGTTTCGCGGAAAATCGCGGTTTAGTAAGACGCCGTTATGTCTAAAACGGTTGGGTGGATTTCTTCGCGGATTTGACCAAAATATGTCAAATAATGTTGGTTGTCGGATTCCGTTATCAGTTTTTCAAAATTAACTCTCTCTATTTTTTTAAGAGCGATATAATGGAATTACAAATTAAAAAGAAACAGAAATAAGCTCTGCGGGGTGACGAGGGTTCCGGCCAATCGGAACAGATGGTGCGTCCCAGACAGGACGTCGCGCCTTATTTCTTTATGTAGGTAAGATAAAGGCGCGACGTACTGTCTGGGACGCACCATCTGTTCCGATTGGACGGAACCCTCCTCTCCCCGCATAGCTTATTTCTGTTTCTCTTTAATTTGTAATTCCATTAAATCGCTCTTAAAAAATTAGGGAGCCCTAATTTTGAAAAACTGATAACGGAATCCGACAACCGACATTATTTGACATATTTTGGTAAAAACCGCGTTGAAATCCGCCAGGTCGTTTTCGAAATAACCGCATCCTACTAAACCGCGATTTTCCGCGAAACTATATGGAATATCGAAAAAATAAAATATGCCCCACATTAAGAACACATCGGTTTACCACCAGTTCAAATTTGAAATTTTTTCGTCAAATAGTTTTGGAGAGAAAAAATCGCAAAGTAGACAAAGTTGCTGGCACTCTCAAAAATCGGGTACTTTTTTCACTTAACTCGCGATAAAAGTAAAACCGCGGACCCGAAAATTTCCAAATTAACATGTGATACGCAGAAATGTTCACTGATTACAATAAACTTTACAGCAATTTTTTCCATCGAGCGGTTACGAAGATATCGATCTCTAAAGTGAGGGGCCTTGACTTTTTGCACGGATAGTAGAAGTAGCTAGGAAATGGATTTCTGTAGATTCAAATGAATGCAGCACACCATCTGGCAGTTCTTCTCGTACTTTTAAAATGGCTCCCTACAAAGATCATCTTTCCAGGCTTTCAGGAAAATTAAGTTTTACCACGTTTTAGAACAAATAGTCACTTTCGTAAAAATACCTGTATAAGATAGTTTGATATAACAAATGACAATCTATTCGATATTATCGGAAGAATAATCTTGCCAAGTTAGAGCTTTCTTGATTGAATATTGGCTGAGATATGGGGGTTTTTAAATAGCATGGTGAAATATGCCAAAAAAAAAACTTAAAATCAAAATAACTCGAAAACGAAAAATGCTCGGTACCGGAACTTTTATCAAAGTAAACATATTTTTTCGCGTATAATTAAAAGGTGCAATAAAAACTATAGCATTCTATTTAAAATAACGAAGTTGTCATCTACTGGTGGACCGGAAATGAGCACCATCTTGAAACTACTTTAGATCGAAAGATCGGTATGAACCTCGCATATAAACTAAATTTCAGAAACGTATATGCAATGGAACAGGAAAAAAACGGGTGTTTTGGTGGACACTGTATAAAAAATTTATCCAAATTTTTTTAATTTCATGTCATTCAGTATAAATAAAATTTATTGGAGTTTATTTAAAACGTTTTACTTTCATATTCAATTGCCGGTGACACATGACATGTCACAAACTGTTAAGAGACCCGAATGAGGCTTACTTTTTCTTTAATAAAAATTTAGCACAATCTAACGCTAAATACATTTAAAAGTAGAACTAACACTAGACCTAGAACTAGAAACATTCGGGTTTAGCCACATGTCTCTCAGGACGGCTAAACCCGAACAATTTTAGTTCTATGTCTTGTATTAGTTCTAGTGATAGTACAGGTGTAAAACTAGAACTAACACTAGAGCTAGAAACATTCGGGTTTAGCCGTGCGTCTGAAGACGCACGGCTAAATCCGATACTTTCTAGTTCTAGGTCTAGTGTTAGTTTTAGTGCAATAAGAATATGCAGCATAGTGATATCTTATGGTAACTAGCACTACCTCCCACTGTTACTAGAACTAACATTAGACCTAGAACTAGAAACATTCAGGTTTAGCCGCACGTCTCTCAAGACGGCTAAACCCGAATGATTCTAGTTCTACGTCTTATGTTAGTTCTAGTGCAAAACTAGAACCAGCACTAGACCGAAAACGAGAAACATTCGAATTTAGCCCCACGTCTCTCAAGACGGCTAAAACCGAATGATTCTAGTTGTAGGTTATGTTAGTTCTAATGATAGTGTTAGTGTAACACTAGACCTAGAACTAGAAATATTCGGGTTTAGCCCCACGTGTTTCAAGACTGCTAAATCCGAAAGATTCTAGTTCTAGGTCTTGTGTTAGTTCTAGTGACAGTGTTAGTGTAAACTAGAAGTAACACTAGAATTAGAAAGTTTCCGGTTTAGCCGTGCGTCTTCAGACGCCTAACGGGTCAAAAAATTGTCGATTTTTAAGCGACATGATGATTCTTGAATTATACCAAATTATTACCTAATCGATATTTAGATGGCGTTGATTTTGATGTGTCAAAAAATGTAATGACAGGTGATCTAACCTTCCTTAAAATCCCCAAAAATCCTTCCTTATTATTGTAAAGGATTTATCGACTAAAAAATTGATATACTACATTTTTATATTTATTATTAATATTAACCATATTTTTTTATTCATAAAATATAGACATCATATCAAGTAAGAGCGAAGATGTTCCAGCATGGGTATAAAGTGTTGATAACAAATTTTAATGTAATCAAACGACATCATCAAGTAAGCACAAAAACTAAAACCATTCTTCAACCGCGACCGGATGTAGTTCCAGTTTTTAGGAGGGCAAATAATTTTACGGATAAAGTTGCCCTTCGAGATACTTTTGGTCATTACACGTATGGTAATCTTTTTATGGGGGCCAAAGAATTGTCTAATGAAATTTCAGTAAATATTGGGACCGGAAAAAATAGTCAAAATGTCTTGTTTTTATGCGGAAACGATGCGAATTATGTTGTTTCGCAATGGGCTATATGGATGTCGGGACAAATAGGTATTTTTTTGAGTGAATAAAAAGGATGTTTTTAAATAAAAATGTTTTAGCCATTCCATTAAGTCCGTTACACCCACAAAACTTATTAGAATATTACGCTAGCGATAGTGGGGCAAAACTTATTGTAACAACGTTGGAATATGCCGATCTCATGCAAAGAGTGGCAAATAATACGAATACAAAACTTCACGTACTTGATGATAAACTAGCAAAAAATATCATGCAGATGAATCCGACGAGAAAAGGTGATATGGAAGCGGGGCTATCATCGGATTTTTATAATAAAAGTAACGCTATGATATTATATACGAGTGGGACAACTGGAAAACCAAAAGGTTAGTAAAAAAAATTCGTTTATTTTATGAATTTCACAATATTGCATTCATATTTTCTGTTTACTCGATCTAATTTTAACTGATAAAAGTTGAAATAACAACATCGATGTTCATTGCACCGGTTTCGACGATTATAAATAAAGATAAAATATTTTCTCCAAATATATCTCATTATCGGACATATTACCGACGGGACTGTTAAAATGAAATAATAATAAAACTCGTTATCAATGTGAATGTGGCATTCATTTATTTTGTGTGGCAAAAAAATGCGTTTTGGCCTTGCTCTATAAATATTCTTTTCTCAATGTTAAAACCGGGTTATTTATTTCAAGGCTACTTGTTGAACTCTAGAACACTAGATATTCGTTTTAAGATTAAAAAATATCAATGATTTTTTTTAAATACACAAACAGATTTTTTAAATCTTATTTTGGTGTTCTTCATATCTTACTGATAGGTGAGTTGTAAAAATTTTTTTTACTGACGTCAAAATTGTAAAAATTTATCTGGATCAGCTTTGAGTGTGAATAAATAAAAATTTATAGTTCTAAAACGATTTTTTAATAAGATTGTTTATTATTTGTTATTTACTATACTATATATATTTTGCCCCTTATTGTTAGAAAGAACTTCAAGAGTGAGTTCAATACAAGGATTATGATAATGTGGATGCAACCTTAAAGAGGAAGTTCTGTGTTTGGTTGGTTTGCTGAATTTTTCTAAAAACAATGTATGAGTTGAAAATTATAATATTGTGCCCTTGTCTTGTGATACTAAAACTCAAGGTTGGTTTTGGCCTGTGACGTTGGCCTCACATCTCTTATCCCCATTTTCTTCATGTCCTGCCCTACATCATTTTTTCATTGCTTCCAGATCTTCCTGTGGCTCTCGCTATCTTAACTACTGCACCAAAGATCCTTCCTTGGGCTCTTCTTCCATCCATTGTCATCACTTTTCCATCATCTTGCTAACACTTAGCTCTAGCCAGGCGATTGTTTCTAAAGTATACCATAATTTGGATGACATGTTCTTTGATTTTAGTTTCTTCAAGGTCTTGGAAGTCATGATTTTTGATTAAAGAAAAGAAATCATGATTTTTTCCCACCTTTGCAGTAAGTATTAGTACCATAGTTTCAATAACGGGTTCATTAGAAAAAAATTGCCTTATAGTTTCATTATTTCCCATTTACTTGAAATAGAAAAATAGCAGTAGTCATGCATAACCATGGCAATCAATTGTTTTGATTTCAAATTTTATATAGTGCATTTGGTGCAGGAACTTTACGATAATCGAATTATCGGAATTATTCCTATTTTCTTGGAACACGATGAACGGTATCTCGAATTTCCTTGTTGCTAAGTCTCTGGCTAGCACTTTGGTGTAATTGAAATCTATGATGTGTCCTTTTTTATGACAAAGCTCTTCGACTGTCCACTGCTGGGTCCACTTGATGTTACGTCCAGTATGGCCAACGTAATACTTCCCACAACTGCATGATAACCAATAGACTCCCGCTCCCTATAGTGGGGTACTTTATTTTTAGCTATCGGAAGAGCGTTCCGATTTTTGTTGTACAATCCGTTCCGTCACACCTGAAACATAAGGGAGGCAGAAAAACCGGCTGGTACAATACTGATTGTGTTTTTTCTCTGCTTGCATCGTTTGGTAGCTCCCTAGATATCCTTCAGAGTGTAGCCGTTCTTCTGAAGTACATCTTCTAGAATTTCTTCATCTTTAAATTCTCTTCGCCAATAATAAATTTGATTATGGGGTGTTGTGAGCTCAGTACATAAAGCTTCAATACATTCTGAATAAAAATCTAAAGTGCATTATGAAATGAAAATATAAATAATAAAATGTAATTATTGTTATCTCAGGTCGTAAGCAATTTACTACTTTACTATTACACTGAAAATACGTAACAACACCATTGTGATTTAGGAAAATCCGTTGCTAGCATCAAAAGTAGTGAAAACGTAGGTTAAAGTACAAAGTAACGCTTTTATAAATGTATTCTCCATTTTCTCCTCATTTTGTTTCTGAAAGGTCTTCTGAAAGTTGCAAACAATTTATCCAATTCGTCATTCCAAAATTATCACATTCATGGAGCATACAAAGATATCTAGTTTATATCTTTAGATAAAGCGTTTCGATTAAACCTTTATGTAGCTTAAAGAATTGACATAAAAAGTGGATCGAAAATGTTGACAAAATGGAAAATTAAACTAAAGAGTTACTTCTGATTTTTTGAAGACCAAAGTAGTAATTGGTCAATACTGGATTAAATGATTTTCTTCTTTGACCATTTTAGCGCTATATTCCATTACAAAATGACGATAACAGCTCCGAACAATGATAACAGTCACGTAAAGATGTATATTTATTGAAAATAAAATATTTCTTTAAGGGCCGGTTTATCAATGTCAAGTTAAATCTGTTAGATACGCAACTCATGGATAAACTTGCCTAACAGATAACCTCAGTGAACCGTTTATCCAGCAACTTTCTACCCGACAGGCAGCAACCTACAAGATAGAACATAGATGGTACCCCTGAGTGTTAACATTAGAAACGAAAATGAAACGTAATTGGTGAAATTTGAATAATTGACTTTAGTTTGTGAAGTTGATATAAACAGCTGATCGTGTTTTGGATGTTATCATTCCCGTGTGCTTTTGGTATTGTGCTTTGTTTTCGAAAACCTCTTTTATAATGGAATTCCTACATGAATATTTATTAGACAGCGATAAAGATGAGGATATTGTCCAACTCTTAAATTATAAACGACGACCATATATTATAAAAGAAAGACAAAAGTCAAAACCACTTTCAGGAGTTGGACGAACACTTTTTTTTGTTAGATTTCGGTTGAAAAAGGGCACAGTTTTGTCAATCTTGGTTAAAATTAAGACGAGATTATACTATATTAGATTATATTATTTTTTTTTTTAATTAGTAGATTATTATTTATTTTCTATAACATTTTTATATTCGTTTGCCAAATCCTACTGCTGTACTAAAATTTGATGATCTTTTCTTTTTCTTGCTTATCCATCAACACAATTATATTTATTTTTGACGTTATATTTTAATTTCATTATCATTTCCTTTCACCAAGCAACCAAACTTATGCTCACATGTTTTTGACAATATCTAATAGGTGAACCCTTAACCCTTAAGTACTTCAATCTGGTGGGTATCCAAATGTCATATTTATCTATAAGATTACCCTAAACTACGGGTGGATAAACGATTCGTCAACGTTATCTATCAGCTACAATTTTAATTGACAGATAAGTCGTCTTAACTAGATATTGATAAACCGGCCCTAAGGCCCACTTTTACCATCCTCCTGATAAACTATCTAGAGGATAGTTGCCATGGTTACGGCGGTTTTAAGCGCTCTCATTGGCTAAGGCTCGTTACTACCATCTTTTAGTTAAATTTATCTAATAGATAATAAAGTTTAGAAGGGTAGGTTGAAAGTACAAGTAGGGTCAAAACATGCCCTATTATGAGTTAAACATATTCCCCAAATTTCATTTTCCTAGCGTTTATGGTTTTTGAGAAAAAGAAATTAAACCAAAATTTTCCGCCATTTTTGGAGGGGTGTAACTCCTTAGGGGAGCCGAAGTCGCCCATGGTTCATATATCAAAGTACCCTTAAAATTCACTAAAGAATCACCCCTTGAAGTTTGTTGCAGTCATTCAGATACACCCTGTATGATATTATTTGTGGAAACATCATGGTTTGAATCGGCAACGACAAATACGAATCTATTGGTTATTTCCTGCAGTTAGGTTGGCGGATGAGGATGTAATGAGACAATTTGTTACAGAGGTTCCCTAATAACCAAACACATAAAGGACACATGATTCCTCTAGGTCGCTTTGTTGCGAAAGAAAGTCTAGAAGTTACTAGAACATATTCTATGTTGAATTTGAATTTTAGAAAAAACACCGCTAATGGCGTTTATTGACTATTCTGGTTTTTCACTCTGTCTATCTATAGAGAAACCCTATATTATCTTTCTTCTCGAATCTTAATAAGCAATGTTCGTTTATAAAAGGAAGGGTTTTAAGGGTTTTTTTAAGGGTTTAAGGGTTAAGGAAGGGATAGAATCGGACGTTTCAACATCTGCTTACTCGATAAATGTCAAAAAATAAAAGTATTCTGGAGGTTTTCGATGGAGTTCAGATGTGGTCTCTGATGCCCGGTTGCACCGTTTACATAGTTGAGCATAACTTAGTTAAGCAGTTCTTATAGTTAAGAAGAACTTAAATTTTATGTCTATTACACCGACATAACATATACAATGCTCAACTAAGTAACGTTAAGTATCGGTTATTTGGCAACAACGCCATAAAATTTAGTTATTTTTATAAATTTTAGTAATTTTTTAGGGTTTTTCGTGTTGTCAAGTTAATGTCAGTTAAAAACTAGAGAGGTTAAGTAATGAAAAATAGTTATTTTTATAATAAATTGTTTTATAAATCATTAAAGTAGTTATTTATTAAATTATCTCTTAAATAATGTATCCCATTATTGCCGATATTATTCATCTCCACGCGGCCAGCCTCAAATTGAACATTTAAATCTGCTTCATTAATGTCATCTTTCAAAACAGCAACATTTTCTTCGGCCATAACTGTTCTGGTAATATTGTGTAGAACTGCCGTTGCTACAATAACCTCCATCACAGTGGAAATTTTCAAACGTAGGCCATATGCAAGGACAGGAAATCGACGTTTCCAATTTCCAAAGAACCGTTCCACTGTATTTCGGGTTCTTATATGAGCTTCATTATACAGTTCTTCTGGTCTTGTTCTACACTCTGCCAATGGAGTTAGAAAATACTCTCGCAGAGGATATCCGCTGGCGCCTAAAAGAACCTTATCATTAATCATTTATAATCAAATAGTAATATGTACTATTTTACGTTAAGTATCAGTAACCGTGCTCAAATCTGACTATTAATAAATATAGTTGAATCGTGAACAGATCCTGGCCACCTTGCCACAATATCCATGGCTTCCAAATTTGCATTTACAATAACTTGTACATTAAAAGAAAAGTAGCCTTTTCGGTTCTTGTACACTTCTGCATCTTCGCCACCAGGAGACTGAATTTTTATGTGCGTGCAATCAATGGCACCTATAATCCTGGGAAATGCAGCTATTCCATAAAACTGGTTTTGTACTGCTAGAATTTCTTCGGTATTACTTGGCATTTTTATGTATTGCGGTCTCAGCATAGCAATTGCACGCGATACCCGCGATATAATTCTACTAGCTGTTGAAGTATGCATCCCGGTAAAATCAGCTACAATAGTTAAATGGCTAGCAGAAGCGTAAAATCTAAGGGTTGTTAGCAACTGGTTCATTGGAGACACACAGTTGTTTTTGTACAAAACAAGTAGTATTAAAATAATCTAAATTCAGCCTATAAAAGTATAATTTAAAATAATGTATACTACTTACTTATTAGACGGAAATTCTATAATTTCTTGTATTTGTCGTAGAACATACAAACAACTTTGTTTTGTTAGACGAAATCTTTTAAAAAAATTATATTCGTCCATTTCGTGGAAATAATTGGATCTTGTGTATATTAATTTTGGAAAACCAAAATCAATTATTTCCAAAACATCTAAATCGTCGTCGAAAATTTGCAGATCCATTATTTTATTTTATTACTTTTTTAACGTATAGGTTATGTACGGTTATGTCTATTTGACGTATGCGCTTGAGAACAACTTAAGCACTGGATTTCAAATACTTATATTTGAGAACGTCTTATTGATTTTGAGAACGGGTTACTTGACGGTGCAACGCAAATTCACTACTTAAGCCTTTAAGCAATGCTTATGTATTACGGTGCAAACGGGCATTGAGTCAGCCAGTCCATTCAGGTATCAGTCTATTCCGTATATCTGCTATAACGTAGGAAGCTTATTATCTGCCGTAAGCATCGACGTTGAGCTTACCATGAATTGGAACCAAGGATTTTATTCCATCTCAGGAGTGACCAATGCAGACCCTATCCAGACGGTAAAGGGCGAACCCTAATTCATCCCTCTAGACTATTTGTTTCCACTGATTTACAATCAACTGTCGACGTGTTTTACAAGACATTAACCGTGCAGCTCGGTTAGATTTAGCGATCAAAGGCTAGTGGGCAGCCACACGATTATTAAAACCAAGTAGTGGTGCTTCCTCACAGATGCATCTTGAAACTCCTGGCAACATACACCATTGATTGGATGTGGTGGTTTTGAATTACTTTCCGCAGCACTGAAATGTCTGAAAAATGTTTACAACATTTTTGATGTTTTAGGAAATTCTTAGAAACGTGTGAATGCTTTGGAAAATTTTTGCAAATACTTTAGAAAATCCACGGAAATTCTTGTTGTTTTTAGAAACATTTTTTAATTTTTTGTTACAATTGTTACAAAGTTTTTAAGAATCTATGGACAATTTATTTTATTAACATAAACATATGATAATAAAAAACATTGTGATAACGATTTTTTTTTAACACTCTTATTAAGAAATCATTTTGGAATTAATATTTATTATGTTATCACTTTTTAATTTAATTTTTTTTATTCCCAAACAGGTGTTGTGTTATCCCATAAGAATCTCAATTCCCAAATAACCGGATTAATAGACTCTTGGCGTTGGACCGAAAAAGATAGTATCCTCCACACACTTCCCTTACATCACATTCATGGTATCGTCAACGCGCTTCTCTGCCCACACTATATCGGAGCGAAATGCATAATGCTACCGAAATTCGACGCAAACACGTGCTGGGCATATCTTTTGGGGATAAATACAAATTCGGATGATCGCAGGATATCCGTTTTTATGGCTGTACCAACGATTTATTCGAAACTAATTAATGAGTATCAAAAAGTATTTAGCGGTGATCCGAAAATGGTTGAATACATTCATGGGTATTTAAAAAATCGAGTTCGTTTAATGGTGAGTGGATCTGCACCGCTTCCGGCAACCGTGCATAAAAAATGGTTTGAAATTAGTGGGCATAAATTATTGGAGAGATATGGTATGACTGAAATTGGGATGTGTTTATCGAATTTGTATGATTCCGATCGCGAACCTGGTTATGTTGGAGTTCCTTTACCTGGAGTTTCAGTCAGATTAGCTTCAAAAATCGATGATGACGAAGACAATTACATCACACATTTAGAAGTAAAAAATGTTAACGGTAATATTTCAACAAATTTGTTAGATTGGACGCAACATGGAGATCCGATTGGTGAGCTTCAAGTAAAAGGGGACACCGTTTTTAGAGAGTATCATAATAAAATAATTGCCACACAACAAGAATTTACAATTGAGGGTTGGTTCAAAACTGGAGATATTGCTCAGTACTCCCTAAAAGAAAAGAAATTTAAAATGCTTGGTAGACAATCCGTTGATATCATTAAATCGGGAGGATTCAAAATAAGCGCCTTGGAAGTCGAAACTTATTTGTTAGAACATCCCCAAATAGCGGAATGCGTTGTTTTAGGGGTTAAAGATGAAGATTTCGGGGAACGTTTATTAGCGGTGATCGTGTTAAAACCGAATATGAAAAAATTAAATTTAGATGAATTTAAAACTTGGGCGGAAGAAAGAATGCCAAAATATTGCATTCCAAGGCAAGTTATGTATTTACCCGAATTACCAAGAAATTCAATGGGAAAAATAAATAAAAAAGATTTAAAGGAAACTTTAGCTTTATAAAAATCAAATCAAAAAAAAAAAAAAAGAAAAAACGATAATCATGGAGAAATATAAGAAGACTGATTTTTACGTACGTAGTATGTAAATATGTCCATAACCAACGACTTAAATTATATGTACATTCGATTTTTGTTAGTATCACATTTTAAGTTTTAAGTCCCGATATTAAAATAATAAAAATGTATGTTTGAATACCGAATAATCATTTTCATTTTTTATACTCTATTTTTTAATTCGGAAGAGTGTAGAGAGATTTAAATTGAAGCGCCAAAAAGAAGGGTTGCAATTAGTTTTAAACAACAGGCTTTAAACAGTTATAAACAAAAATTACACCAGGATAATTTGAGATGTTGCTGGCCGCCTAGAAACATTCCAGTTTAGCTGCACATCTCTCAGTATGGCTAAACCCAAATGATTCTAGTTCTAGGTCTTGTGTTAGTTCTAGTGATAGTGCTAGTGTAAAACTAGAACTAACACTAGACCGAGAACTAGAAACGTTTGGGTTTAGCCTCACGTCTTTCAAAACTGCTAAACCTGAATGATTCTAGTGACACTAGTGTTAGTGCTAATGTAAAACTAGAACTAACACAAGACCTGGAACTAGAATCATTAAGGTTTAGCCGTCTTTAGACACGTGAGGCTAAACCCAAATGATTCTAGTTCTAGGTCTTGTGTTAGTTCTAATGATAGTGCTAGTGTAAAACTAGAACTAAAATCACTATCTTTCGCCTCACGTCTTTCAAAACGCCTAAACCTGAATGATTCTAGTTCTAGGTCTTGTGTTAGTTCTAGTGTAAAACTAGAACTAAGACAAGACACTAGTGTTAGTTCTAATGTAAAACTAGAACTAACACAAGACCTGGAACTAGAATCATTAGGGTTTAGCCGTCTTTAGATACGTGAGGCTAAACCCAAATGATTCCAATTCTAGGTCTTGTGTTAGTTCTACATAGTAATAGTACTAGTGTAAAACTAGAACTAACACTAGACCGAGAATTAGAAACGTTTGGGTTTAGCTTCACGTCTTTCAAAACGGCTAAACCTGAATGATTCTAGTTCTAGGTCTTGTGTTAGTTCTAGTGTAAAACTAGAACTAACACAAGACCTGGAACTAGAATCATTAGGGTTTAGCCGTCTTTAGACACGTGAGGCTAAACCCAAATGATTCTACTTCTAGGTATAGTGTTAGTTCTAGTTTTAGTTCAATAAAAATATACAACATAGTACTATCTTGTGCCAACTAGCACTACCTATCATTGCCACTAGAACTAACACTAGACCAAGAACTAGAATCAATCGGGTTTAGCCTCACGTCTTTCAAGATGGATAAATCGAATGATTCTAGTTGTAGGTCTTGTGTTAGTTCTTGTGTTAGTTCTAGTGATAGTGCTAGTGTAAAACTAGAACTAACACTAGAACTAGAATCATTCGGGTTTAGCCGTCTTTAGAGACGTGAGGCTAAACCCAAATGATTCTAGTTCTTGTGTTAGTTCTAGTGACAGTGCCGTGTAAAACTAGAACTAACACTAGACCTAGAATCATTCGGGTTTAGCCGTCTTTAGAGACGTGCGGCTAAACCCAAATCATTCCAGTTCTAGGTACAGCGTTAGTTCTACATAGTAACAGTGCAAGTGTAAAACTAGAACTAACACTATACCTAGAACTAGAAACATTCGGATTTAGCCGTGCGTCTTCAGACGTCCTGGTTTTTATTATGTTTAAACAAATAAGTAATTAAATTCGTAACTACAGTTTACTTAAACGTAACTTTTCATTTTACTCTCCTCCGAATTAAAAAAAAAAACAGTATATTATATCTAAACAGTTTAATATAAACGGTGAAGAGTTAAAGTTGAATTAAATAGTATACTCGTTTAAAATTAGCATTTAATTGTTATTACAGGAAAATATCTTAATTTAAAGCTTAAAATAACATTTTCTTTTGGATTTATATGGATGTTTTTGTTGATTTTACAACTTATTTTCAAGTTATTTTCGTTTCCGAGTTATTTATTATTACTTTCAATTACTTAGTGAGTAAATTTAATGAAGAAATTTGTAAACATATACGGTTTTAATAAATATATTGATTAATTAAAATGTTGATTTTAATTTTAAATGACATTACTATGACAGGTGATGTTTTATTTTGGCAAATAATACCAACCTAATAATTTTTTGAAAGATGTTTTTCAAAAATGAAGTTGTTAAAAAGTGAAGTATTAATTTAAAGCGGACTATTGTCTTTTTTTCTTTTAATTTGTTTTAAATTATGTAATATAAGGATTGGAATAATGTTTTGATTAAAATTGGTTGGAGATACGTATGTGAAGTGAGTAGCAAATGGAATCGATTTTTCCGCGAAGTAACATGACAGAAAATCTAGAAAATCGTCGAATCTGTCGCTCTCTGGCGGGCAGAGGTGAAGCTGTCAGTCGTGTGATAGTGGTCGCGAGGTGTGACATCGGCGTGAGCCCGCGGTTACGGCAGAATCTCACGTGTGCGTCAATTAAAATCGCGACCAAATGGTGGTTAAAGAGTAGTCGCGAACGCGATAACGTTGAATGGATCCGACGTTGTCCTGGTTCCAGCCAGAACAGGAGGGACCCGCAAAGCAATTGTGGCTGCGGTTGTGGCAGACTCAACAAGAACTCGATACGGTCAACCTGAAGGAGGGCGACGCCGACCAAGTCGACTCCGTCAACAATCAGAACCAGAAGAATCTGGGCACCATGAACGGGAAGAACGATAAAAATATAATGTTCGCATCGCGTAACCGTAAGGTCGAGAATCGCGCGAGCACCCGAGGGTTTTACGGCAATCCAGACCATTATACGTCGCAATACGGCGGCACCGTTTGGCGGAGGAGGGATTTTATCTATTCTAAAGGTGTCGTGGGGTATGTTCATTAACATTAAAATTTTATCGTTTCTTTTATATTTTAATCATCTTTTTAAAATTATCTTAGTCCTCCATCAATTCTTACACTTCGGTATTACTCGCTAGATGGAACCACTTACTTTTGACATTTCAAACAGCGTGGTATTTTAAAGAGCCACATGTACCACTTTTTATTACTAATAATACGTGCCCTTCCCTTTTTTATAGCCATCATTTTAATATCCACGTCATTTAATTACTTATAGAACCCATATTTAACAATAATTAAAAAAGTGTATGATTGGAAAGTAACTTGTTATACAGGATGTTTCAAAGCTACTCATCATTCACTTATTCTGTGTTTTATTGCTTATAATATTAAATGTAAATGGCGTTAATGGCCACAATTATTAGATTATAAAGAAAACAGATATTTTCGATTTTCGATATGAAATTGAAAAGAAAAAAGTATTCGAAAAATACAATAATCATGTTTTGTCAGTTTTTTTACTCAAGACGATTAATTGGTGAGTATTATTGGTGCCCTACCCTAAATAACAGGATGACAATTTGTAAGTAAGAGATAAATATAACTCATCCATCTTCATTGTTTACTTTTTTAACTTTATTAACAGTAAATTTCGACGTTGAAAATGGAATTAAAATCTTTGGAAATCGAAATTTTTATCAATATCTTATCTTATTCTCTTCTTCTGCAGAGCTAAATTCAGATGGAGCACCAATATTAAGGCCTAATTTTACCATCTGTATCTTTAAGTTAATGTAAATAATTGTTTTTCCCTGAGAGCGAGATGAACTTTTTCTGAACGCTGCGAATCTCTAAACAGTAAAGTAGTGATTACGCTTGGCTTATAGTTCATTGCCTTATATCTGACTATCTATGGACGTTTTCTTTTTGATGGGGAGATAATTGCTGAAAATGAGGTTAGACAAGTTCATGATTCATCATACTTTGGTCTGATACCCTTTCAACTGTTGTGAGTTGATACTAGAATTGTGTGTTTATAATGAGTCTATTTCTACCAAGGAATAGACGCTGGTATTGTTTTCAAATTTATTGAAGTCACAAGATGAGTCTTCTTCTTTTGGACTAGCACATACTGAAGATTGTGTTTCAGCTGTTGTGTGGGACTCAGCTGAAGGAACAAAAACTTCATCAGGAATAACGTGATGGTTGAACGTATAGATTCCAGTAATGTATGATATTTCCTGTCAAAGTTCTTATTGAAAACTTCTCCGAAATACCTCTTCCTCAAGTTTGCTGGTTTTGTTTCTATCAAAGTATAGAAAACACAATATGTTCATTTCGAAAGATGTCGAATGGTTCGAAATCTGTTTTATCCATGGGTTGGATTACTTGAAATATAACGTGGTGCCATGTTTATCAGCAGTGTTTGCGATGTTTGCATCCAGATGAGATGACGCACCATCAAATATTAGCCTCTCCGGCTATCCTATATCGGGGCCAAAGTGTCTCTGTTTCAGGTGGTATATGTTACACCTATTCTGACTTCAAACGCTGTTTTTGAAGATCACCCTAGATGGGAAAGTTGCACCAATGTCATTGCCGAATACAATAATTTTTACATTTTCTGAATGCTCAGGTGCAACTGGATACACCCTTTTTACAACAGTTTGCTGATGTTGAACTGATTATCAGCAGTTCTGATCTTATTTGCTTATATAAACACTAAAACTGGTCATCATATTGTGGCGCTTTAGCTCTATCAAACGCAATTGTAGATATTTTGTCTAATTAAGCTGAGCCTCAGTGATTAACATTGTATCAACTCGAGATTGGCCATCATATTGTGGCGCATCGTGCGCAAGCAGCCTTGGCTTTATCAGGTGAAGTTGTATATCTTGTGACTAACTAAGCCGATGTCGCTTGCGGCCGAGGCTCGGTGATTAATTAAGTGCTTTATTATTATTATTATTGCTGCCGGGCTGAGGAGGGCGGCCCCTCTCGTTACCGCGACCTATAAGATCTATTGTAACTTTAGCCCTCCAAAGGTTTAGGGCAAATGTAGGTCCTTAATGAACCTTAGTATTGTCCTGAGGTCTTGAACCTTTATGTCGGTAGGTAACAGGGGAGTTTTACCGAAGTTTATGATGTAATTCGTGTTTCAATGCCGAGTCTATATTCTTGTCTGTTCGTCCATGCGCCGTCTCCACAGCTTCTTTCAACCATAAACTTGTTTATCTCCTCTTGCCAATTTCTTCTCAGTCTACCAGGTTCCTCCTTCCTGTTGGGTTCTAGTTAATAACTTGTTTTTTAGATTCTAATTTCAGGTGTTTTTTTGGATATGTCCGTACCAAATGACTTACCTATTTTCTATATTTTCCTTAGATGTTCGTATAATTCTTTCCGGACCGCTGTATTTCTCGGTGCGGCTTCTTTTCGATTTTTTAGTGAGTTAGTATCGGCTTCACATGTCATGCACCTTAGACAGAGATAGGAAAGGGGCTTTACCTGCTTCGGGTCACCGTAAAGCCCCTTTCGCATCTCTGTCTCTGGTGCATGACATGTGAAGATGATAGTACTATTGTGCGACCAGTTGGATTTGGCCGGCGGAAAATATGCGAACTATTATCGGAAATACCTTACCCCTCACCTCCTTGACCTATATATTCGGCTGTAGTACAGTCAAGTTACCAAATAAAACAATATGTATTTCTGACATTTCATTTCTTTGACAGCGTTGCTTGAGTTAGGTTATAGTTTTGTGAGTTTATCGAGTTTATTTTCTATTATCGTTCTATTTCGTTTATCTATAACTGTTCTTATCAGATAGCCAATGATGAACTTGGTGAAAATAAGAGACCTGTTGTATATTTGGATGAAAGCTACGTACATAAAAATTATACTGTTTCGAAATGTTGGCAAGGTCCTGATGAACATGGAGTTTTGAAAAAAGATGGAGCTGGTCAACGATGGATAATTGCTCATTGTGGAGGCAGTATGGGTTTTATTAAGAACGGTTTCCTTTTATTTAAATCAAAAACAAAAAGTGGTGATTATCATGATGAAATGAATTTTGAGAACTTTTCAAAATGGTTTAAAACACAAGTGCTACCAAATTTACCGGACAATTCAATAATTGTTATGGACAATGCGCCTTACCATTCAGTACAAATAAATAGGCCTCCTACTTCTTCATCAAAGAAAAATGATATAATCTGTTGGCTACAATCGATGAACATACCATACCATCCACATATGTTAAAATGCGAGCTACTAGAAATCGTTAGGAGGTATAAACCATCACCACAGTATGTAATTGATGAGTATGCAAAATCGAAGGGTCATACTGTATTACGCCTTCCTCCGTATCACTGTGACCTGAATCCAATAGAGCTAATTTNCTAGGAGCCTGCGGCAGATCTGGTTTGCCATGATGGCCTTTTTCCTCACCTTATCTAAGTGTGAGTTCCAGTTTAGTTTACTGTCAAGTATTACCCCTAGGTATTTAGTTTCTGTTTTGAGGTTAATAGTTCTGCTTTCAATGGAGGGTGCTTTTATTTGTAGCTTCCTTCTCCGAGTGAAAGGGACTATTTCGATTTTATTGGGATTGATGCTGAGCCCATTGCTTATGCACCAAGTACTGGTGAGTAGTAGGGCTTTCTGCATTAGCTGAGTTATGATTGAATCATATTTACCTCGGATTGTGATTACCAGGTCATCAACTACCAGGCACCATAATAGAGGTGATAGCACTCTCCCTTGGGGACATCCTCTTAGCGCCTTTATAGTCAGTGACTCGCCTCCAAGACTGGCTGTGATCTGCCGACTTTTCAACATGGCTATACACCACTTGATTGTCGACGGATGTATGTCTTTTACGTTTAAAGCCTTCTCTATGGATTCATATGAGGTGTTATCAAACGCACTAATTAAGTGCTTAAAATTTCGCTTTAATATTTTACTAACACATTCTTAGAACATTTTTATGAAAATAAAATTTTTTTGTTGCAATTCAAAGGTACATACTAACTCATAACCACATCAGAGCCCTGTAATAGTACAATAAAGATAGAGTGTTCGGTTGCCATATTCTTACACAGTTTGTTTAAAAAATCTTGCTTTCAACGGACGAGATTTTATAAAATTTGCTACATTCAGCATACATTCTAAAAGCTGCTTGAGTGCAGGACTCTAAAGCTACGTCCACGCCGAAAGGAACACAAAGAAACATTGTGTTTATATTACTTGGTCCTGGAACTTGTATCTCAAAGTTTCTGGATGTTCCTTATTATTTATAGTAGCAGAAACAAATGTTCCTACAAGTTGTTTGTTTCCGTATTTAGCGATAAATATCATCGAAGTGACTTCGAACCAGTTTCTGAAGAAGGTTGCAACATGGCATCCGAAACGTCAAACCTTTTATTAAAAGACGCACGGCAAAACCCGAAAATTTCTAGTGTTAGTTCTAGTTTTAGTTCTAATCTTAGTTTAATCTGTAAACATGTTTGTTTCGGACGCAGTGTGGACACGTTGTAACTTGTTTCCGAAACTTGTGTGCCGAGTAGCTGATATTGATGAAGTAAATAGAAAAATAAAATATGTAGTGGCCCTCTATCGTAAATCTGGTGCTGGAACATATTTTATCAGCAAATGGTTTGTCTACGACAAAAGTTCTTTATATTTCCATTGCCGATCCTGGATTCTGCTTTCAAATCCGCTGCCGTTCATTTATCTGCTTCTTTAATGGACTTATAAGGCGCATGATTCCATGCTTATTTCTTTCTAGAAGAGTTTGCCTAGTAGTCTAACATTTACGAACTTTCTTTTTCTGTTTTTGCAAAACAATAATAATTGAAGCCACTGATGCCTGTAAATCATCATCGCAGCACATTGTATTCAAATACTGAAACATACACTAACCTGATGTAGACACAACACGGTGATGAGCGGCTAAAATGAGTTCTTGGTGTGGACAGAATGTTTACGGTAAATTTGTTATTGTTTCTGCTTCCTAAACAGGTTACGACAATCAG